CTCCAGATGCTCATGACTCAGATACGGGGGAAATTCCAAAATACGTTTTTTTAAAAAATCTCAAAATACACACGTTTTATGAAAAATTCCCAATCTACAAATGTTTGGGATCACCACGGCCGTCAACCGCGGTGAATGCATTTAACGCTCCGCGGTTGACGGCCGCGGTGAAGTCCTGACCTAAGGCTGAAACTTCAAACTAAAGTAACTTTGCGCTAAGTAATCCGATCGTAGCAAAAAAAAAAAAAAAAAGATTCCGCATAACTTTTCAAGATCTTTCAATCTATAACTAGCATTCATCCCAAAAAATGTCATTTGCTACCCCGAACGAGCAATTTTTCGATTTTGCCATACTTTGTAAGGCCATAACTTTGTGCTCCTCAATTCGAAAGTCATAAAAAAAAATTGATTGCTCATAAATTTTTAAAAACTACAACTTTTACTAGGAAAGAATTTTCAAAACAATAATATTTCTGGGTATACGGGATTTTGGGAATAACTTTCCCTTTACTTTTCACAAATCCGTATACATTGCAAAATTATGGTTATGGTCAAAGTTGTAGTCCTTAAAAATTTATGCGAAATCAAAAAAAAGTTTCATGACATTCGGATTGCGGAATACAAAGTTATGGTCTTCCAAAGTTTGTCAAAATCGAAAAATTGCTCGTTCGGGGTAGCAAATGATATTTTTGGGATGAAACGCAATTGCAAATTGAAAGATTTTGAAAAGTTATGCGAAATCAGAATTTTTTTGCTAAGATCAGATAACCGAGCACAAAGTTACGTTAGTTTGAAGTTCAGCCTTAGGTCAGGCCTTCACCGCGGCCGACAAATGCGGTGAAGCCTTCCCTGCGGCCGTCAAACGCGGTGATGCATTCACCGGTTTAGTCTGCAGTGGTGAATGTATTCATCGCAGTTGACGGCCACAGTGATGCCCAAACATATGTAGATTGAAATTTTTTCATAAAACGTGTGTATTTTGAAATTTTATTTAAAAACATGTGTATTTTGAGAAAAAATTTTCAGATACTGATAACAAACTATTACCTCCCTTTCATTTGAGTAGTAAGCTTGCCTCTCCATCCGCTAATTAAGATGCTGCTACTACTATAGTATTGTGATCGCCAATTTTATTTCCCGTCCCTCCTATTATAAGACTAACTCCAACCCACAAAGTGAAATTTGGCTCCCCAAATAGTCAAATATGGTTTTTTAGCTCCCCAAACCCTATTTTCTCTCCAATCCTACAAAAAGCTAAATTTAACTTCCACCTTCCTTTTTCAGTTTATCAATAAATCATACTTATTTGACCTTTAATTTTTATATTTCACTTTAATTTTTTTATAGTTCGTTATTACTTTTGAGAACAAAACTTTGGATGCAATTTTTAAAAAAATTCCGAGATAAAAAAAAATAAAAATTAATCATTAATTTGTTACCGTTTACGACCGTAGTTTTGTCACTATATTAATGATCTATCATTTAACTTTATAATAAATTCTAACAAAAAAAATAACCAATCACAAAGGGAAAGAGAGATAAACAAAACAAAAAAAAAGGTCTGGCCCACCTCAAACCCCAGCCATATTTGGCTTTTCACCTAAAACAAGAGCTAAATTTAGCTCCCAAATCAAGATATCCAAATTTGACAGCTAATTTTTTTGTGGGTTGGAGTTTAAAAAAGAACCAAATTTGGCTTTATAGCTTTTTAGCTCTCTAGGTTGGAGACAGCCTAAGCAGGAACTTCGCCATTATTTTCCTTCGTGCTGCAGTTTTCGGGGGGATTCGTTGAGCTAATGAAGCAGTGCAAAGAGGCATGAGCAGCAAACAAGCAAGTAGGAGACCAGTAATTGGTAATTTTGGGTGATAAGTGTGGTCAAGAGCCACGGAAGTCATGGCCAAATGCATGTGGCTGCTACTGTTGATTCAGTGGACTTGTGGATTCAAAAGCAATGGGAAAACGTAATGCAGAGACTAGATTCTGAGGGAGGGAGGGAGGGAGATGATTAGTGTAGTGACAACTGACAATATTGGTTGGTTTAACGGTTAATGCATGATGAGAGGCTAGAAGATTCGGAACTTGTTTTTCTTCGTCCCAATTTGTACATTTTTTCTTTTGTATCAAGCGTGGATTAAAATGACAATTAGCTTGATATATTTTGGAGAAAAAAATAAAACATTAATTGATTGGGTTTTTTCATAGTATATCATAGTAGTAGTGTTTGGTGGTACAAAAGATTATATCGTGGTGATGAAAATATATTATATTACACAATGACGATGTACATAATGGTAGGAATATACTAAACACCACCTACCATCGTCTTTCATTGTTTATCACTATGATAGAGGGTGATAAGTTTAATTATAAAAAATTTCTTCCTAAATATATTGAGGATTGATATAATTTGTAGATCACAAGAACTCATTTTTTCTGTAAATATTTTCAAAATCCAAGTTAAAAGAAAATACAAGTGGAATAAAAAAGTAGGAAATTAAAAAGTTCTTTTAATCTTAATCATCAAATTTAAACTCACAAATTAAAAGGATTAGATATGATTATACATGAATATTCGCGTGTCCCCAAATTTTTAATAAGACCACTTGTCTCTCCTTTATAAAATTTTAGCACCCTAACACTTCCCTTTAGATTTAGATGGTTGTGAAATACCACAAATCGGACAGATAGCTGACCGTGAGAGGTGTCTGCGACATCTCTCAGCTTTCATAAGCATTAAGCAAGCAGTTGTGAAATACTAACCGAAAGAAAGTCTTGGTGCGTTGACGCCCCTGAATCTGCCATATTGCCTTCCACGCTAGATGATGACCCTCTCCCTCCTCCTCGTCTCGAGTCAACTGGTACGGTGTCTTAATGGAGAAAGCTCCAGAGGCATACAGCCGCCAGATTGGGGGTATTCGGGCCCCGTTCATAAGGGATAGGGTTAAGCTGGATTTGCATGATCCACTCCTCCGGTAGAGAGACATGTAAATAATCCGTGTTCCAGATCCCATTCAAGACCATATTGCAACAATTAAGTCCAAGGCATCCGCTGGATCTCACCTCATCTTCTATGATTCATTTATCATTATTTTGACTTGATTATTTTATATATTCAAACTAAAGTTCCCTAAAAATCGGAGTTACTGTTCTTTAAGACAAAAAATCATAAACACTGTTCAACGAGACCCAATAAACAGTTGTTGACAGTTCAAGTTTAAACTTATGGATACCATTTTGTGTTGGCCAAGCATGACCGTTAATTAATTATATGGCTAATATCAGTCATTCAATATCAGTCATTCAATTCTTAACGTCTAAACTCAAAACGAGTTTGACTTTTTATCTAGACGGCTTCTAAACGACGGCTGACGACCAACGGTATAAGAAAAGTAGACACCATACCTCTGACGACAAGTGTGCTCTATGCAATACAAACATAGAATCCAACATTCATTGTTTGAGAGACTGCGACAAGATAAGTAGAGTCTGGGAAAAAGTGGTCCCTTTACTGTTACAACAAAGCCTTTTCTCCGAGAATCAGGAGGATTGGTTGAAGGACAATATAGCTAGCAATGAGATGGAAGAAGAGGCAGGGGATTGGTCTAGTTTATTTGTTCTTATCTACTGGTATATCTGGAAACACAAAAATGATTATATCTTCAAATCTACCATAATATCCAGCCCTACTCTCATCAACTACATTATTTCCAAAGCAAAAGACTGGATGAGAGCTTGTAAAAGAGCGATAGAAGCGAAAAATCTACTAACAAAACCTGCTAGAGAAGAACAACTAATAGGATGGACGCCTCCGCCTACAGGATGGACCAAGTTTAAAACAGAAGGTGCATCCCAGGGAAATCCAGGTATCATGGTTGCAGGTGGATGCCTCAGAGACAATGAAGGTGACTAGTTAGGAGGCTTTGTCTGCAAGATCGGTATTGGTTCTGCCATTCAAGCTGAATTGTGGGGCATTCATCATGGCCTTGATCTAGCATGGAAGAAAGGCATTCAATGTCTGATTGTCAAAACAAAATCTTAAGCTGGCGATTGTGCTTATTAACAAAAGACCAATGGATCTTAAAAGGCTCCTGCGTGAAGACGTGATTGGGATAAGCTTCCCGAGACAGGTTGTGATCGATAACAACAATAGTTAGCTCTCGGCTCAATTGGGGCGGCCCTGGTCTAGTGGTCTATTTTGTTCTTTCTTTAGATCATGTTTGATTTCTTGAGTTGGGAGTGTCCCTCTCCGTTTTGGAAGGTGATCTGTATCCCCTTTGAATCTCTATAACTAGTCTCATCTGGCTTTTTTTGCCTCCCTTCAATAAAAAAAAAATCTAAACTAGTGTGTCCTCTATCATCTCTCATTATCTCTCTTCTTTTCCATCATCCGCGGGAAAACCATTATTCTCTCATTTGTTGTTCGTGCAACCAAATTAAAGAAGAAGCAAAGGCCGACAGAGATTGTGTTAAACCGGGAAATAGAAGAAGAAAAAACCTCCAAACATGTATGTCAATGAATTGTACTAATAAGTATACCGCAAAAAAAACAATCATCAACAAATTTCAACAAACTGATTGAAAGATCAAAGAAGTATGAGTATAACATGTGAATATTTTATAATAATATATTATATTCTACAGCCAATAGATATAGTTGTTAAAATAAATTAAGGAAAAAAAGTTATGCACTCTTGTGTAACTTTTTTTCTTCCATCGGTATCTATTCATTAAACTTGGGAGGACTGCGAACACTAGCATGCAACTTTAACAATGTGTAACACCGATGTTTGTTACTAGGCCTATGCGACCTATTCATATAAATTAGCGGCACTGTACCCTATTTTCGTGACAAAAAAAATACTAATTCTTCCTTATTTCACGACAAGTAGTTCCGAAATTAATGCACCTCCTCAATTGTTTCCACCAATTTTTCAAAAGGAAAAAAATAAATAAATAACCATAATTGTGGATAGATCATTTCTTGATCTATACTTGTCATTTTTAGGCCAGTTTATAATATTCTCTGTATAGTTCCATTTCTCCATTTTCCAATACTGTTATAAAAAGAAAAGAAATTGTAGATAGAGAAATGGATAATGACAACTTAAATACTTAATTTTTTTCGATTAAAAAAACTTACTCTTTCCTTCCTAACTACGAACATTACATATATCGGCCACGGTGACACAGTGGAAACCAAAACCAGAAGAGGGAAGAAGAAAAACAGAGGAGACGAAATTTCTGTATTTTTTCGGTGCACAATTAAAACCCTTCTGCCCAACCAGTCCAGCGCCTTCAATGCTCTCCTTACTCTCTCATCTCTATCTCCTCAATAAACCCATAAAATAAATTAATTGCAATCTTTCCCCCATTCCATTCCAGTCCATTCTCCTTCCCACCACCATATCTCTCCATTCTCCAATAACCAACGCCTTCCCCTCTTTCCAATAGGTGTGAGTGGGTGGAAGAAGAAGAAGAAGCAGAAGTGCTGAGCTTTTGTATTAGTCAAAACTCTCGGCCAATCTTTCTCCCCTATATATAGATTTATATTCCATAGCTACCCAACAAATTCCACAGATGGCAGAGATCTCAGGCTCCAACGGCAGCGCCACCAACCACGTCGTCGTTCTCGACGTCAAGCAAGATCATCATCCGCCGGCGCGTTCCTCTTCCATATTGTCCTTCTCCGTTCCCTTCGTCCAGAAGGTTGAATTACGGAATTACCCAACACGTTTTCGGCCCGACTTTCTGATTCTGCTTCGCCAGATCAAGCAATCTAATAAATGCTCTGTTTTTTGTGGTTGCCCTGTTTTTTCAGTTGGTGGCAGAGTTGTTGGGGACATACTTCTTGATCTTCGCCGGCTGTTCGGCGGTGGCCTCGAATCTGAACTACGATAAAGTGGTGACGCTTCCTGGGATTTCGATTGTCTGGGGACTGGCGGTGATGGTGTTGGTTTACTCCGTCGGACACATCTCCGGCGCCCATTTTAACCCCGCCGTTACTCTCGCCTTCGCCACTTGCAAGCGCTTCCCATGGAAACAAGTACCCCAAATTTTCTTTTCTTTTTTCCCATCTTCACAATTTAGTCTTTTATCTTTTTCACATTTGACATTTTGCTCCCACCGCCTCCGGTTCCGATTTGCCCTAATTTTCGTCGGTTTTAATTAGGTTCCGGCTTATATAGCGTGCCAAGTAGCCGGATCCACCCTTGCCGCCGGGACAATCCGGCTGATCTTCCCCGGACACCAGGATCACTTCACCGGGACTCTGCCGGCGGGACCCGACATGCAATCGTTCGTCGTCGAGTTCATCATTACCTTCTACCTCATGTTCGTCATCTCCGGCGTTGCCACTGACAACAGAGCCGTAAGCCATTTCATCATTTTTTCAGAAATGATTTATTAAGGTTGATTGCTTTCCTCGCAATAATTTTGATGACCAAATCAGTGACCCCCACAAAGTTCCTGTCTTTAAACAAAGAAAGTCATTAGTAGGAGACTTGCTTAGCGTTTGTCACAATTAAACCCAAACATAATCACTAGGCGTGGCTAATGTGTTAACATATATGGGTTGAACCCAATGTGTTTTCGGATTTAATTTTCTAACCTAACTTTATAATGAAATCTTTACTTTCATGACTGCCGATAAGATTATAACTTCGAAATCCTTACTTTCATGAATTCGTCAAATATTCATTACAGCGGCGGATCTAGGTGGGCCGCCCCCACGTCACGGTCTAGCCCTCCCTCGATCCAGAGCTAGTATAGCAATTGTAAATTTTCGATTTTCAATGTTCGTTTCAGTGTTCGTCGTGTCACGGCCCAGTCCTATTCACCTTTTTTTCAAATGTGGCCGAGTGCTCTACTCGATCCTGGATCCGCCGCCGATTCATTAGGTACCATAATGGAAAAGGGACAACTAAACCAAAACAGGGGTTTTCAATTCTGGCCCCAACTTGTTTGACCTTTTCCTTATAATACAATCAGTACACGAAAGTGATGTTTGGAGTTATTTGCGGACTAATAGGAAGGGTTTGGTTTGGTTTTGTTTTGTTTAATTATAATGCAGATTGGTGAACTAGCCGGGCTTGCAGTTGGATCAACCGTGCTGCTTAATGTGATGTTCGCAGGGTATACTCATTAATTAATCCTTCCCCAAGCATCCCTAATCATCATTATTAACAGTATCATTTCACTTAATCAGTCCTGTTTAACACGGTTTCTGGATTCTCCTGCTGATGAAATGAGTGACATAACAATGAAGCATAATATCTCATTATCTTGCTAATCACTTCACGTAATTACTAACAATTCTCTGGGTTTGACTCTTGACTTTGAACACAGGCCGATATCAGGGGCGTCGATGAACCCGGCGAGAAGTTTGGGGCCGGCGATCGTGTCGCATCAGTACAGAGGGATATGGATATATATGGTGGCGCCGACGTTGGGAGCCCAGGGCGGCGCGTGGGTTTACAACTTCGTCAGGTACACCGACAAGCCGTTGAGAGAGATCACCAAGAGTGCTTCTTTCCTCAAGAGCACCGGCCGGTCGTGATGCGCTTTTAATCTACCAGATCTGAAATCTGATTCATAGATGATAACGTTAAAGAGGAAGAAGGCCATTTGTACTTGGGAAATGGAGGATGGGAAGAAGAAACATCTCTTTTTTGTACATCTTTGGTTCCATATGTGGCTTGATTGAGATTTGAGAGGGTGTTTTGATTTGCCAATTGGGTCCTTTTGTCTAAGTAGCTAGCAGCAGTACAGGCTAGATCAGTAAAGTTTATAACAAAGAACAGATGAATTAGCACAAAGGCTAGCCTTCATGTATCCTCTTCCCAAGAGGTCGCGACCATAATCTTCTCATCCTGTTGACATTTCGTGTTTCTCGTTGATCAAATAATCAATCGTTTCATTTCAATTTCTACGACTACCGAATGCTTTGAGTGTACATTCAAAGCGATCTATTTGGATGATTCTTTTGATAAGTTTATGGGGAACCATGTCCTTTCGTATTCATTATCATTTTACGTTGTAAAAAGTTAAGTTACGTTTTAATTATACGTAGAGATATTTTGTTATTTTGGGTATTTTAAGGAAATTTTTGGGAATTATTAGTAGTTTCTTAATTAGGCAAAGTAGGAGTATTGTATGAGAAGTCTAGGGTTCTATGTATTCTGTAATTCGTATGAGTTAATTAGTCATGTGAAAACCCAAAAACCCTCGTCCTACCCTCTCAATTTCGTCTCTCCTCTTCTTCTCCCCAGTCCCCCGATTATTTCTTGGCCAAATTCTCAGTTCAATTCTCAATGCCAAATTCTATCTTTTCAACCCTAACTATATTTTATTCTATCCTCTAATTCTGATATCATATCATTGAAAATTCAAAATTCCATCAATTTCAGCCTTATGCCGAAATTCCTTAATGTACAGAAAAAGTATAAAAGTTAGCAGGTCATTCTCATCATTTGCCTACATCACACCGTCATTTTAATTTCATCTATTTTAGAATGTCAACGAATAGCGAGACCACCTAATCATTTCAAAACCATTTACTTATTCCCGTACTATTTACGTACATATTTCTCCACTTGTACGATTTGTTTGTACTGATTGCTCAATCGACTCAAACAAAATCGTTGTCCATGTACGTGAGTGTTTTCAATCTCACACATTAAGTTGCAAAGAGCAGCCGAAAAATAAATGGTCGGTCTGCAAGTCTTCACCAATTCCAGTTTGCCATGGGACTATGTGATCATTACTTGCAATACAAAATAAAACCCCAACATTTCTCCTCTGAGAAAGCAGTAATAAAAATGCATGTAGGCAACCATTTTGGGTAGTTAAGAAAACACCAACGCCTCTAAAAGCAGTAAAGCTATACACATAGACTACCTTTTTGGCAGTTAGGGGAAAAAAACACACTTGTCCCTTGCCTTGTCTTACACATGAAAATTCCTTTGAGAAGTAAAAGGTCCTTAGCCAACAACAACCCATTATCCATAAAGCCATCAAGACCTGGAATTCTTATCAAAGATGAGAAAATCATGAGAATCTACTATCTTTTTTGACCAATTTGCACGGACATCATGGGGAGGTAAAGTCATCGGCTGTCATAAAGAAAAAAGTCCCATGGAGCTGCATTGATGAATATGTTTACCGAGATTGGACAATGTACTCTTCTCATCATCTTCCTCACAGTTCAAACTATGCGAATATGTTTACCGAGATTGGACAATGTACTCTTCTCATCGTTGAATGAAAGCGGTGACATTTTTGTAAATAAATGTCACCGCATTCATCCAACCATGGCTAAAACCCCAACACATAATCCACAAGTCCCTATGAGCACGATCTCACAACCGGACTGTATGCACCATGCCAGGTTGCATCATCGACATTGATTTTCTGAGCTCTTACTTATCCAAACGCACATGATTCTTGTTGCAAATCCTTTTTAGGCGGTCAAAGATTCGATCCAAGGTGCCCATTTTGATTCTTAGTTTATCAGAACAATCTGATTTAGCTCTTGAAAAAGGTGGCGCATGCACAATGGTTATACCATCTCAGGCATCCAGTCTAATGGACTCTTAATAGACAACCATGACCTTGGCCTCAAACATCAATAACCAATGGGATAACGTTACCTGTACATTTGGAACACAACTCTGAATAGAAACTAAAAGAAGAACAGTATAGTCAGGATTTCATAAGCTAATGAGTGAGCGATGTTCAATTAACTGCTACAATCAGATACATACACACCAAGGCAAACTGGAAATTTCACCTTCGCTTGGGGAGATTGTTTCGACTAGAACTGTGTACTTCAGGAGTAGAAACATTTCTTGGCCTAGGTCTCGGAAGGATTACAGGTCTACAACATATTAGAGCAACCAGCAACTCCATCACAAAGGATATGAGAGTAATCCACACAAAGATGGTCTTCTTCCAACCCCATATGATCCTTCTAAAGAAAGGGAGTTGAGACTCGAGGGCCAGGGAGGCATCGTACAGTTCTGGTATACCACCACCGGGATTGAATTCGGCTCGCTGTTCAATCATCACCCTCAGGCAGGAAGTCGGTACATCACCTCCTGCTAAACCTCTTATCCTCAACCGCAGTGTTTGGGATTCGGATATGTAACCCGCAACAAGGGGCACGACTTTAAACAGAGTTAAAAGAATTCGGATTGGCTCGCTTTTGAACTTCAACATGCATGGATGGCTTTTGCTCACGAGGACGCTGCCATCAGCTGCGAGAAACTCCACCCGTACCTTCAATGTTCCAGATGGCAAACATATCAACCAAGCACTCAAGTTGAATGCATATTACCCAATTCTCAACTATGACTCAATCCATTCAGTTTAACTAGTTGGGACCAGTTGGTGTCTCTAGTTGATCAAATAACCTATTTCCCAACCAAATACACCAACTTCTATCATCCAAAATGTGTAACATGGTCCATGGAGATCAGTTTGCCTTCATAATCTTGGTGATTCCAAAAAATTGTCATAATGAGCATGGAGTGGTCCTATTTGCCAATTCAGCCAAACTTGCTCTACTTCTCACAGATGCTATCACTTTGATCCTGAAGTTAGTAATGAATGAACCCCCAATAATGCCTCAGTCCCTAGGATAGAAAGAAGTATACCTGTCCTCTAATTCTACCGGTAATCTATGTTGGTATCTGACAATGGAACCCTATCTGTAGCTTTCATCCTCATCCAACATTGAGGTTTTTTCTATTATCACTATGGAAGCAAAAGTTGGTTGCAAATCCAACAAAACACAGCACATCTGAAGTAAATAACCACAAGAATTCTAGCTCTTTAGAGATTATACATCAGTGAAGAAAGGAGTACCTGAAACATCCCGAGATTTCTGTTGTACTCTGATTCAGGCAGAGTCATTGATACTGTAGCCTGCACTTTATGCTTGGGAGGTATGACTTTCTGCCTGAAACTCATGATCTCCCCAACCTTACTATCTTTACAGTCAACACCACAGCCAACACCAGGACAAGAGACCATTGGAACAAAAGCTACCGGTTTGCTCTGGGTGTAATCGAAATTCAATTCCTCCCTTATTTGCAACGGCTCTTCCACCAGAAACTTCATCAGCAAGCTGCTAACCATAATTGCCATGACCAGCAATCCAAACAAAATGATACAAACATAAACGCACAGAAGCAACCCCCACCCAACTCCCAACAAGAGCTTCCATTTCGTCTGATGCTCCTTCAGCCAATCATTCACCCTAGAACTCAAACACCCAACAGTTGAGTTCCATATGGAAAGCGACCGCTGCAGCAAGAATCTCTTGCCACGCCTTGTAACGCCAAATGGATCGGTGACAAACATATAGGAGCAGTAGAGAGCCCATAAAGGGAAAGAAACGAAACTGAGGATCAAATTGAGTTGGAATCCAGCTGCTTTAATCACCAATACAGCTATCAATTCAAGCAGATTCGAAGACGGCGGTTCAACCACTTCACCTCGCGGCGAGTCGACGGCTCCTCTTCCTCTATCATTATCCAATTCCACGGCCGTCGACACAGACTCCTCTTCCTTTTCTTCCTTCTTCGCATCTTCGCTTACCTCGTCCACGGCTGCAACATTTTGAGCTGGAGGCGATTCCACTTCATCTGGCCCCGTCGAAGACTCAACTATCTCGGAATCGCTCCCGATTTCTTTCAAATCGGGGTAAAAGGCCTTCTCTTTCTCTTCCGACGATGTCGCGTTCTTACTGTTACGCTGCGTGACGGAGGAGGCGATTGTAGAGGCTTCCTCCTTATCGGATCGCTTGAATTCATTATCGTCAGCGAACCCGCGACCAGGGACCGATCGACGGCGAAGGGTAGTCCGGGGAGAGGAGACATCGGTGGAAGGTTCGGAGACGGTGGAGTCGGAGGTGGATTGATCCGATTGGTCGTTACAACTGAAGCAGTCATCGAAGGGGAAGTCGTCGAAGGCCTCGAAGAACCAGCCGTCGTCCGGCGGGAAGCGGTGGTTCGGGTTCTCCGATGATTCCATTTAAGAGAGGTAAGGGATTTACCCGATTTGGGGATGAAGAAATTGGGGGCCAACGGAAACCAAACAGATTTCGGTCGTCCTTTCGGGTTTGGGTTAGGTGTCCGGCGTCGTTAAGTTCACGTGGTTAGCGCGGTGGGGCCTTCGTTTAACACGTAATGGCGCGGCTGTAATTTCCGCCGCATCAGGGCCCGAAATTGTACATATGACTAGAGATGGCAACAAAATCCAAATTCATGGGTACCCTACCCGATCCAATCTGGTTAATGCGAGTAAAATTTGTGTTGATGGGTTTTGGGTCGGATTCGAATTTAAATCCAGTACATTGTTCACGGGTTGGGTTGGGTTTGGGTTTAGGGATACCTAACTCATGGATACCCGTCCACACTTATTATGTCGTCCTACTCGCCTCAAACTCTATCCTAATTTTAATTTTCCCCAATGTAACTCTCCCCAAACCCTAGCCTAATTTTATTTCTTACCAAGGTAATGTTTCTTTTTTTCCAAAAGAATTGGGAGGGATAATTTAATAATTGAAGTTGAACACACCATGTTTGTTGGTTTGCTGCTCTCTCACAAATTCACAAACAAAAAGGGAATGAACGAAAAACAAAGAATTGTGTGCATTTATATAGTGTAATTGTGATATGTTTGAATTTTCTAGATTGGTGTTTTATGTATGGATAATTTGTATGGGGAAATTGATATTTAACTTTTATTTTGATGGGAACTTGTTATTGTAAATATTTTATTTACCACAAAAACCACGGGTACCCATGAAACCGCGGATACCCAACGAGTTGGGTTTGGTTTGAGTTTTCCAAACCCAATAAGTTTTACTCCAGATTTTTTTTTACGGATAAACCCATGAGTTCGAATTTGGGTTTGACACTGTATATGTCAGGAAATATAAGAATGTGACTCGCAATTGATTCCAGGCCGGGACAGAATAACATTGGTCCTATTATTTGATTTATTTCAGGGCCGGGTTTTTAACCCCGGGAAATTGGTTCCAAAACTGTGTTTTTTACTAAAATAGTGATTTCAAAAAATAATTATCAAAATATAGCTTCAGAAAAGTATTTAATTATTTATAAATATATCCTAATCCTAATTTTAACAATATTATATGGAGGTTCTCCTCCAAAATCCCATTAGCTCCAAATTCCCTGCCTCCTGCACATAGAGGGGGCCTTAGGTCATTTTCTTTAATTAATATATTGGTAATGGGTCCTAGTGAGCACAAAAGTTTTGATTTAAAACCGACGCTTTCTTTAATCAATTTTTTTAATTCATATCGGTCTGCAAGGGATTAGATTGAATGACACTATTATTGAACAAGTCGAAATAAAGTTGCTTGCTAAAAGAGAAGGGGATGGTAGAGAATATGATTTTCATCTACAAATTAGGTCATTGCTTTAATTGTTGACTTTCTAATGGTAGAGAATATAGTCACTTAATTATATTTTCGTCAAATTTGCAGGTGAAAACAACTTCTCCTCAAATGGAGCGACCTTGCTGCTGCTGGCAAATCCTGGAACTCTGAAAGTCATTAATTTTGTGCCAAGGTGAAACTCAAGACATCTTTATTATCTTATTTGGTTGCATTATTAGTTCCAAGTTTAAAAAATACAAAGAGATTCATTGCCTTTCTTTTTGGTAAATAAAGTGACGGCGATGAACCAACTCCTTCAGTGAAGGGAACAAAAAAAATTCAACAGTTAATTCCAATCATATCACTACATGAGCTGAATCAATTGAAGTTGAAAGATGGAGAGGAGGTAAGTATCAATTTTAATTTAACAACCTTACAACGATGGCATGCTAACAATTCCTATAATATGTAGGGAAATATATATTACTTCAATGCAAAGTTGTCAAGGTTAAGACTAGGTGGTGCTATATATGTTGGATGTGAAATCTGTCCACAAAACTCGAAGAAGAGTTGGATGAGTACGTCTGTGGGAACTGTACAACAACGTTAAAGACCACAACAACAAGGCAATGTAATAATTATTAGCATGTCAAATTGTATTTCATATAGGTCGTCCACGTCGTTGGATATTTAATTTTCTACAATATAATTTATACTCCTTTCTATTGAATTCATACATATATTACATACAATAAATTCAATATTTCATAACATTTAGCAAAACATTGTACTGATATAGGAGGAAGGATTACTTACATATTACATATATAATTAAACATTAAATATGGCTAATACAAAGAGATTCTAGGAGATTGGTGTCTTAAATTAGAAAATGGTGAGCTTCATTCCAGTCGATGCTATGTATGTCTTCCCACCTATATTACTTTAGGCCACTATTTTTTTATTTAATTGAATATTTAAAGTTTCTGACTTTATAACTCATATGAATTTTGTTATTCTTTAAGTCATTACAATCTTTATACAGATTTAGGATCCACATTCGAGCCGCGGACAAAACAATTCAAGTTGACTTTGTTGTTATGAATCAAATGAGAGGACCACCACCTACTCATTTACTACAAATTGAGGGAATGACGTTGAAGGTCGTTATCAAGCTCAATGATTACAACATCGTTAACCAAAGAAGTGAGTACACAATTTCTAGGATAGGGAAGGATGAGGAAAACAATAACTCAAAGATTTTCATGAATTTATCGTGGTAAGTCCAACTAGCGTGAAATTATAATCACTATTATTTACAATACTGCATTATTAATTTATTATCTACACGATTTGGAGTTTCTTTGGAGCATGAACCCCCACTACAACAATTTCCATCTATTATGACAACACTATTTTGTCATAATAGGATCAAATTTCGTCATAATAACTTTATTATGACAAAATAATTTGTCATAACGTTCGTGAAAACTACCTCGTCGAAACAACTTTATTTTGACAATTTTTCAATGTCTTGTCACAATATGTTTCAATAGCACAACAACCAACTTTTGTCACTATAGGACCCCTATTTTGACAAAACATTTTATCGAAACATAGAGATATTTTGTCATAATACATTCAAATTTTGTCACGTTAGTTCAAATTTCGATATGTTGTTGAGACAAATTGTACAACTGTGACAAATGATTTTGTTATAATAGTTTGTCACAACATCTAATATGGGTTCCTATATCGAAACTGTTTTTTTTCATAACTACTATTTAGGCATAGTCTGTATATTTTTTGGATGAAGCCATTTTTTCATAATCTGACATGCTAATTTTATCATCAAATCTAGAAATCATAATAAATAACACCATAGTCACGAATATTGAAGTCAACACAAAATATTCAGTATCTCTGTAATAATCCTTAAATAACAATTTTGCAAAGTAACATAACATTCTAGTCTTCACATTGCCTCCGCATGTTCCACTTTGAAGGACAACCTTATAAGTTCATCTTAAAATGAAAGTTTTACAGACAATTAAAGATTTTGAAAGACCATGACGCACATGTTCCCTGTTGTGCCTCATGCATCTAGCTTTCTGCGAATTCCTTCCCTTCAACATGGAACAAGGTTTTAGAGTACTTGTGTGGCACACCAAGAGCTGAACCAAAGTGCTTTACGAGCATTCTTAGGACCCCTAAGAAGCATCTGCAAAAACAATAACAATCCTACTGAGAAAGAACTTGACAAAAGAGTGTTCAGAACCCTATTAAAGTACCTATTCACTGCACATTAGTGAAGTGATCTCACCCAAATGTCCATAGATGGGATTACTATTGAGAACTCAATCCCATAGATGTTCACAAAGAGTATCGATCAACCCTAGAAATCAATAGAGTTTTGATACGCTAACCACAAAAATCTTAGATCCCTATCTAGCTAGTCATCCAATGCAAAAGCTTCAAGTTCAATTAAGATACCTACTAACCTATTGCTTCTATTCGTGCTAGCTGAACTGTTTCTATTAATGCTAGATTTATTGCTTCTGCTGCTACTAATGTTACTATTGTTGGTTTAAAACTCTAAAAGCGTTGCTAAGTAACCATCTCTTTAAACAATAGTGAGCTAAATAGCATAAGTAAAACAAATAAAGATAGAACTTAGATCCCCACATGTTATAAACAACATCTAAAGGGAGATGGGAACCGAGCAAAAGACAAACCCAAAGCTTGACAATAAGATAATTGAAATTGCATCCCCCTTTCTAACTTAAAGCTTGCACCACCAATACTCAACCGAAATTTTGACATATACAAGATTGAGGAACATATAGGTAGGTAGTAGATGACACATATTTTCATGCTCATTAAGCTTGCATAATTCAATAGTTGAGAACAAGAGACATAGTTCCAGGCCAGTAATGAAAGTTTTATTGCTACCTCTTTTAATTCTCCATCAACTTGTGAACAAGATTGGAGCCAAGAAATCCAGCTCCTTCAATAACCAAGATCCTCAAGTGCACTGCATAAAATAAATTAAACTAATTGCTTAGACTTTTGATGTCCATTTCAATGATAATAGAAGCTTTATGCAGAGTTGCAGCCAAGATCATTAGAAACTACAATCCTGAAGGCAAGTTGTTTAGGCTTGAGGGAGTTCTATAAGAAACCAAGTAAATCATCCAGTTTACTTCACAGTCCTATTGAACGGTTGCTACAAAGTGAGTAAGCACCCATATTGCAACTTGCCTTATCTATAACTAGAAGAAGTATAAACTAAACTTTCACTCTCAGAATCACCATAAGAGAGTTCCACCGCGTGAAACCAAATGAAAGCAAAATTAGTACTACAACAAAGAGTCTTTTGGGTGATTAGCGTACCTTTGGGAAACTCTGTTCCTAAAGTTTGATTCCCAGTCTTCAATATTGCCTTGTAAAAGAGATGATGGTTGCATCTTGTCTGTATAATAATAGGCTAACCAAAATGATGCTTTGAGAAAAGTTTCTGAAAGTAAACTTAAATCAGTGATAGAACTGCAACAAAGCGAGGAAGGAAAGTGAATCAAGACCACACCTCCATCAACAATGGACTAGGTTAAGAGGAAAATGGGTCTCGCACTACTGGATGTTGCAGTAATGGATAAGTGGGTGTCACTTCTTACCACCAGCGAGTCTCTCACAATCTTAGCTAGAACGAAAAATTGAGCCTGCACAATTAAGAATTGTGAATCCCGTATAGAGAATCAAAACCTCAGCTTTGATGAAAATAGAACCAATAATCGATAACACTTTAGTTTTGATATAGATTTGACAAAGAGAAGATGAGAAGATGGAAACAAAATGAGAAAATCGAAATGTCGGAGCTTGGAGGCTGCTACGAAGGATCTTGGAGGACCCCAAATAAATTTCCACCGTCGCTCAGGACAACGATGTTGATGGAGTTTTGGTTGACAGTTAATTTCATCCGGGAAAGAGTCGAGTCTGTGGACAGTTACGTTAATGGCTTCGACGATTTCCTTTGAGAACTCATCGCTTTCTCCCGCTTCCCTTACTTGGCCATCCCATTATCTCAAGCCCTTATCTACTCCTCTTCTGTTGCGTTCTCCATCGCTCAAACCCAGGGCGTTGCTCACACCCAAACGCCCATCAATCATAATCCCAAAATCTAGTAAGCCCCTTCTCACCGACAAAACATAATTTTGTTACCATTTGGAGTAACAAACATCTTTTGTGTGTCCTTCCTTTTTGCAGAAGGTGCAAAATGGTCTCTTCTGTTAGTACCCTGCATACCCAGAGCAGTGGCATCTGCAGTAACAGGAGCCACCAATTTTCCTAGTTTGAGTGTCATAAAGTTGCCTCTCATGTTGGAGCATTAGTTAAAACACCCTATTAATGCCTGGGAGCTCATCTCCAAAAAGAACTTGAGATCGAACTCCAGAGAAGTTTTCATTCAACCCTCTTGGAAACTTAATGACATAACTAGTTTCATGATATTCCACCACTCTTTTCATAGCTCTGCATTGAGTCTGACTAGTAGGTGTGCAATCACAGGAAATGAGTGATTGATAGTTATCTAACTCATTCCTAAGAGTGATGACTCTAGCATAGTATTTAGTAATCGTTTGGTTACGTTGTTTCAGGTTGACCCGTGCTTCCTCAAATTTTGCAACTCGAATGATGTCTCCAGATCCATATCTGGTCTGTAGGCTCCTCTATGCTTCAAATGTTGATTTACTGGAGAGGATGGTCTTTCTGATTTCACTCTCGATAGACTGCTATATCCAGCTAAGTATCATGGCGTTGTTCCTGATCCAAACTTCATGCTTTGGATCTGTTTCTTGTGGCTCTGGTACATTGATAAACTCCAACTTGTTCTTGGATGCAAGGGCATTGAACATATCTCGGCTCCAATCGTTGTAGTTGGTGGTGTTGAGACGCTTGGCAACCAAGACAGATCCTGGTTGCTCTGATCCATGAAGGAAGTAAGGATCTTCCATCTGGTAAGTAACTTGTGGTGGTTGATCAGCTGATGGCTGCTCGGTAGCATCTGCCTGATTGTTTGTTGTTGTTTGGTTATCTGCCATGCGTGGCGACTAGGGTTTCACAGGCTCTAATATCATAATAACTGATCTAGAATGAAACCCTAAAATCTTGATTCATTTCCTTCATCACATTACAATTTATATGGTTGTTCTAACACTACCAAGCAACACTATCTAGCTGCAAATAAGGACATGTTTATTGTTTACTTGAAAAGGAAACCACTACTGACTTGAACGAAAAGCTAACATGTCCTTTAACAGAGCAGAACGAAACCGTTGGAACCAAACGATGCGGATTGACGAAAAACAAGACTGAAGCAAATGTAACGGTGCGTTTCAATCGTCTTCTCCACCGAAAGTCACAAAAGGGCGAGATAGCCGATGCAGACGAATTGAATTTTTAATGTGCCAACTCTGTTACAAAAGGTGAGGAGGACGAAAGGAGATTTTCGTTTTGTTGAGGGGAAACTAAAAAGATAGACCGAGAAGGCCGAAGGAGATGAGGAAGAAGGAAGATTTTCACTTATATATGCTTGTTGAGAGGAAGAGTGAATAGAAAGAGGGAAGATTTGACAGTAGCAAAATGAAATGGGCGGCCAATTTTTAATTTTGAGGGATCGAAAATTTAAGGCGCTCATTGAAATTTTTAGTTCTAAACCCGCCAAACCCCTCTAAAATAATTTTCATTTTGTGTCGATAACAATCGATACTAAAAAATTTGTATCGGTCAGAACCAACTCAAAACGTAACCGACACGAAAAGTCACAAACTAAATCTAAAAAAAATCATTTTGTGTGGTCACAATAGACTTATTAATTCAAAATTTAGATCAACAACCGTCACAAATTGTCGATCCAAATCTAAATTTTTGTGTCGGTTAAATGAACTGACACGACACAACTAACGATAAACGAATGTTTTCTTGTAGTGACATACAGACACAAAATAGACATTTGGTGTCAGTTAAATGAACATATACAACACAACCGGTGCAAAACTACAATCTCGTGTGGTGTAAGATTCTTTTCATAGTTCATGATTTAGGATTTAGATTAGGTTTCTATAATGGGACGAGAAATCCATAATGTAAAAAAGTAAAGAACGCAAAGAGTTACGTGATTCACTAACATTATTTGTGTTAACTACGTCACCGGGCATGAGAGACCAACTTCACTATACTAATATAGGATACAATTTATGAAGGGACTGAGAGGTACATAAGGCACCTTTTTCAATAGACCCAAAATAGAAATCATATGTGTATGAGCGTAGTAAGACCCATGTGATTTCCATTCGACGGCAGAAAAACACTCTTCAAGTCATATGAACAAGGGTAGTATTTTGTCATAGTATAGGTTCTTTTGTCATGGTTCAGGTTTTTTGTCATATTAAATTTGTATTTATCAATTAATATGATAAATTTGTTTGTCGGCGTAAATATCAACTAAAATATATGGCGACAAACCTATTATTTTGTCACATTATATATTATGACAAGTCCACTATTTTTCAAATCAAGCTTTCGTCTTTCGCTCCACAAGTTCCTACCAATGCATAATCGAACACATTTTGTCTTCGCTCTCATAAATACCTAATATTATGACAAAACACATTTGTCATTATAGTTCTTATATGGTATATAATGTGAAAAAGATTATTGTGACGAATATGTTGTCATTTTATACTCGACATCTTCCTTCCATCCAACGATATTTTGATAAAATGACAGCGAAAAAATCATTTTATCATAATATGTACTTAACGTGACATACGTTTATGTCAAAATCGATGCTTGTCACAATAGACATTGAAATTTTGACAAAGTTGAAATTTGTCAAGTTAGATACTTTATTATGAAAAAATTAAAATGACAAATATATATTGTCACAAAATCCAAAAAATTGTTGTAGTGCCCCGTAATTATAATTTAATTGCCATGCAATGTCAAATACTCATATGTTGATTTTGAAATGCATTTAATTTTATAACTTAAAATAGTGCAATTTTCCTTTATTTCTTATTGACATGCATCTAGTTGTATGCTTGGTTGTATAATCAACGTGTATAGGTCTTCACTTTAATACAATATATATTTTACACTTATGATTCAATAAAATAACACATGTGTTGTGTTTTTAATGCCAAACATATAATATTGTGATCCTAATGCTGGAGATCCAAAATGGCCTTGCTAATGATTGAGATACTGGATCCTGTGCAAGAAATGAGGATGTTCTTGAGAAGGGGAAGTCACTTGATATTGAACAAAACCATGTCACTAATGGAGAAGAAGACTTCACTACTGGTGGACATGATGATGTCGCTCATGGCAAAGGAAATGCAAAACAAACTAAAAATAAAACACGAAGTGGTCTCTAATGATGACGAGTAAATATAATGATTCTCAAATATAAATTATGAGTTGCTTCCCTCATCTAGGGTTTGTCTTCTATTTTTTTGGAAAATGATTTTATTTGATGAGTCGGCTAGGATATTCGGAAAATACTATGATGGTAATCCTTTTCAATGGTTGAAGTATTTTACTTTAGTACTTCGTTTACTTTTGGAAGACCTTAATTTTGTTTTCAATTAAATATCATACTTTTTATTATTATTATTATTATTATTATGCATGGGCAGTAGGTTTTGATGGATATGTGCCTAGGGGTGTTCAAATGGTTACCATGATAATTACCAAACCAAATAAAGTTAAATTGTATTAACCATGAAATATAATTTCATAACCAAACCGTTCAAACTAATATGACAACCAAATTAACCAAACTAAAGTTTATTCAGTTTGGTTAATTGGTTAACCAAAATAACCAATATACCATCACATTATCATTAAGTGAGAAATTATTTTGATTAGTGCATCAATTCGCAATTTATATAATAAATAACACATAACAATCAACCCAAAATTATAGTTAACCCTTAACATATATACATGTAACTAATACAATTATCTTACATTTGACTCTTGAGTGGTTATGCAAAGTATTAAGTATGTGTGTATATTATATTGGGTCATACTGGTGTACACCTGAAGTATACTCCAGGTACTCTTAGTGAGATATCTCTATCTAGACCATGAATTAAATTGAGTTTGGGGTATGATACTATACCCTAACCTCTAATGGATAAACCACAGTCCCCGATTCTCTAAACTCAAACCAGAATTTCAATTTAATAAAAAATACTAATTGACCGTTGAGATTGGACGGAGCTCAAAAAAGGAGATCTAACGACCAGATCACTTGGAGCATACTAAACTCCTGGAGTATACTAGTCACTACCATATTATATAATATATTAGATATATAGCTAATTACTTAACTGATTAATTTGGTTTGATCGATTAGGAGTGTCTGAAACCAAACCAAACCACCTAAACCAAAACAAGTTAAAAAATTTAACCAAACCAAACCAATATTTATCCAAATTAACGAAACCAAATTATCCAAATACTATCGGTTAAAACGATTACCATGGTAAGTGGTAACCACACCGTTTGAACACCCTTGTGTGTGCCTATTGAATATTATTCTAATAATGTCGTGCCTAATAAATACTATGAAACGAATGATTGTAAAAGTGTTCTTTTCAAGATTTTATCATTAATTCATCTACTTATCTTTCACTTAATTCATTAATTTGTGGTATCTGGAAAAAAGACACTTGACGATGTAGTAATCAGAATCACCTAAAGAGTACTATAGTACACATACCCAATTATTTGG